TAACCTGGGATAAAAGAGTACAGCAATAAATTATATCTTAAGTCAGCTTCTCCACTGCCAAGCATCCAGCATCATCACAAACACCCTTGTAAAGTGGATTTGGTGGTGTTTTATACCCAATGCGCACAGTGTAAATGATGGCACAAGACACAGGACAGTGGAGAATCAGACCTGCAGTTTGCAATGGGGAGCAAACCGGAGCCCGTCTACCAATATGGTATGTAAGTGCATTACTATTCAGAAGTGATTTAGCTGCAACTTCTTTCCCTCTCAATGCAGCCACCAAATCTGGTCCTTCTGCTTCACTGCTGGCACTCTGACAACTTTCTGCAGTGAGAGGCAGGCACGGTGTCAGAGCCTTGGTTTCAGGCTGGAAGGAGTTGACACACCCAGTCCATTCCAACAGTTCTCATCTCTTCCCTTGGCCCTTGTTTCCATCAAGAAGTTAGAAGGGCAGATATTATAGATATTGAGTGTGGAATTGACCGTCATATGCAAATTTGACCCGGTCTCTCTTGGCCTGGTTTGGACTGGTTAACATTTTATAAAACCAGATTTCCTTGCGTACATTCAACACTCTATTGACATCAAAAGCTAAGTATGGGACACTTCCAGCCCACTCAGTTTGCCTCATTAGCACTGGGTCTACAATTGACAGGCACTATTTTTTCTCCCTCTCCCTTCTTATTCTGATTCTTATTCTTATTCTTATTCTTATTCTCCCTTCTTATTCTCTGCTCAAGAACATCATGTCTGAAGAAGTGGCTTTTTCCCATAAAAGCTCATGATACTATATTTGTTAGTCTCTAAGGGTATGTCTAAACTACATGGCTCTGTCAACGGAGCCATGTAGATTAGTGTACTCGGAAAAGGGAAATGAAGTGGTGATTTAAATAATCGCCGCTTCATTTAAATCAAAATGACTGCCACGCTGTGCTGATCAGCTGTTTGGCAGCATAGCGCGGTAGTCTAGATGCTCCACGGTCGACAAGGGTTTCCCTTGTCGACCGCCCTGGTAAACCTCATTCCACAAGGCATAATGGGGTGGTCGACAAGGGCTTCCTCCACGGGCTTCCCTTGTTGACCACAGAGCATCCAGACTACAGCACTATGTCACCAAACAGCTGATCGGCACAGCGTGGCAGCCATTTTGATGGAAATGAAGCAGCGATTATTTAAATTGCTGCTTCATTTCCCTGTGTCTAGAAAGCTCATCTACATGGCTCCGTCAATGGAGCCATGTACTCTAGACATACCCTAAGGTGCCACAGGACCACACATTTTTAAAGCTACAGACTGACATGGCTCCCCCTCTGAGGGTATATCAACACTATGGGATGAGGTTGAATTAAGATACTCAACTTCAGCTATGTTAATTGCATAGCTGAAGTTGAAGCAACTTAACTCGACTTTCGGTGCTGTCCACATTGCAGGAAGTCGAAGGGAGCACACTTGCCTCATAGAAGCAGGACTACCAGCTAATCAGGACTTTCAGTTCGGATTAGCGTGTTTTCACTGGATCTGCTAATTCAAACCCTGGAAGATCGACAGCGGCACCTTTGACCTTCTCTGTAGTGTAGACGTACCCAGAGATATTAAAGCCCTTACTGTGACATGTATTGCGGTAACCCACGCAGCAGATAATTATCCTGAGAGCCATTAAACAACCATACTATCTATGCCTGCCAGTGCTAGCATATTTCACATTCATGCGGTGTTGCCATTCCAGGAATTGCCATCACTGGAAACAGGTACCATGTGCTGCCAAGGCAAACATGACAGTGTCCAGTAATCAGCCATTTCAATAACAGGTCATTCCTGGAACCACGCTGCTTTGGGGATTTTAAAATACTTGCCCCGCTTCCAGGGACTCTCCAGTATTTTTGAATGCTCCACATTGAATGCTCCACATTCGGACTCTCCAGTATTTTTCCCCTTAATTTATTTAGCATCTTGTGCTAGATATGAATGTAATTTTTTCCTTTTGCCATTTTAAACACTTCATCGGTAAGTGTTATTTTTCCTTTAAGTGCTATGCTGGAGTCACGATGAAAAGCTTCCAATGAACCACCTTTGCCTGGAATGATTTCTTTTGCCTTTAGTTTGGCCAGATGTTTCCTAATTACTTCTGCCCAGGATTTTCCTTTTTTTTTCAATGTATAGACATTTCCTCTAAATGAAAAGTAGCAGAAGGTTCTTGTTTAGGCTTTTTGCCTGGGTGAAATAGGCTGGGCTCAGCTTCAGCATCCAGGCTGGACTGGATGCTTGAAGATTCAACTTACCTTCAAAAGCTTGATCTTTTGTATTATTCAGTGCAACCCTTTTAGATCAACTCGACAAAAGCCAAATGGCACTTTATGGCTTGAGATTTATTTTTGGAAGCTAGAACTGAGTCACTCGGTTTCTCCTGAGCATCTGCCTCCATTACTCACATCAGATAGGACTTGTTTACATGAATAATACCCCATTGAATCAGTGCCCCATGGTGTCAGTAAGGATTTTACACTCAAGCCCATATTAAGCTTGATAATTGTCACTTGGACGTCAATTGCACAAGGATTCTCATTGACTTAAGTCAGTCAATTATTGGGTCTTCTGACGGATATGCTGCCCTTTACTCACATGGCAATTCCTTGGGAAATACGAAGCCATAGAAGGAATCATTTAAGCCTTTTAATGATTGGAATTAATCATTGAGTTAGGGATGAATGTGTAGAGCTACTATTCAGGGTGGCCACTGAGGGTCATACAGAGGGGAGATAAGGGTCAGATAAACAGGATATAACCGTGACTGTGGTATTTTAGGTCTCTAACCATTGCTGAAGGGGAATACCAGACCTCACAGAACAATGATCTGACCTGGTACAGTGAGGCACATGCCTACCCACTGATTTGCTATTTGGCTATAATCAGAGCACTCTCTTATGGGGAAGGGGCTTATATGTTCCAGTGTCCCTAATTTTAGTGCTACCTCAACACAGGAAAACAAAAGTGATCACATTGCAGTCCAAGTAAACTTGACACGCATCTCAGCTGCTTTGACTGAGAGGTGGGGGTGGAAATCCGTCACTTGCTTGTCATCCACCAACTACAAACACAGTATGTTCTTGGCTTTACCTCCACAAATCCTGACTCCAGACCTTGTCAGGTTGTTGCTGTGTTTTGAAAGGAACTCAGTGGCAGTTCTGATGCCATCTGGAGACACCTTGGCTTGATAAATATTACAATTCCATATGCAAACTGGTGTCCCTGGTTCCAGTCACCCTTGAGTTAAGCAACTTGAAACAGTCATTACTAGGTGGTGTGCTATACATCTGGATCTTTTCAGATGAGGCATTTAAATGACATATTCAATATTGTGACTTTACTGGTTTGTAGGGAGAATCTATCAATATTTGTATGAATTCCCTAAAATGTTTATGTTCCACTGAAGTGACTTGGCTATAGTTTACTATGGAGATAAATTAACTCTGGGGAATTTTATTTTAGACTCTTGAAAAATTTGAGATCATTTCCGCTCCCCCCTCCCCATTAGCTGGTCCTACCTTGCCTTGAAAAACAAGGTGCAGAGGGATCAATCTTCTGGCTCAACAGGAAATGGAACAGTGATGTTAAAAGTGGTTGAGAAATCCAAATGGCTAAGTGCTCCTTTGGGCCCTTTCCTGCCTCTGGTAACACGAAGGGGCTCTATGGCTGGTGGTTTTAGTGTAGGAGAATTGCTCCATCTCCTTTCACAGCCTCTGGAGGGCAGGATGTGTTGGAGTCATGGGCAAGAGAAGCACAGTGCTGTTGATGGAACGGCCTCCACGTCTGCTGGGCAGCCCAAATGTAAGTGCGCTCCTGATGCAACCAGACTCTAGGAGCACAGTGTCGAAAATGGACGAAGGAAAATCAGTCATCTCCCTGGCCATTTTCTCCTTCAGCATCTGGGGGACTCGGTCAGCACTGACTATTGGATCCCCTATTTTTAAATAGAAATGGTTTCCCTTTCTGGGATTCAAACCAGCTACTTTAACTCCCCTTGTGCACTGGTTTGTAGGGATTTCTGTTCCAATTCTGGTTTTTGAGCTCCCCCGGTGAGTAGCTACTTCAGCCCCTAGGGCACCTATCCAAGACTACTATGCTGTAGATGGAGCAGTTGCTTCCTGACCCCGAGGGTGATCAGCTAACTGGCTGCAGAAGGGATTCCTTTCCCTGCAATATGTCTCTGTGACTACAAATAAAATCATTCAACCCTTTTAAAAATCCAGCTGCAGCATTAATTTAATTTGTCATGTTTATACAATGTGCCTATCACTTGCTCTCTTGTCACATAAACAATCAAAACATTGACAAAAACATTGACAATTATCTACATTAGCATAATGTCAAGAGAAAGCGAGAGAGAGACTGAAAAACTAAAATAATCCCACTAGGAAAGACCTGTGTGACGACACAGGCTTTGGAAAGTACCTGAGAAGTCCACATATGTGGAATTATTAAGCTAAAAGGAAAACAAATTCCAGAGGGCCTCATTCTCCTCTAATGATTTCTGGCTTCTGAAGCCCAGCTGTAGAACAATCTTT